GGGGCCGAGTCTGAGGCTCCTCTGGCAAGCCTGCATGGCACACCCCTCGAGGGGGGTCCTCGGGAACTCCCAGGCCACTTGACCACGTCCTGACGTTTTAATCCTTTATTAGAAACCATGCAAACTTTAATACAAAAAGTACAAGTGCAATAATCGTGTCAATACAATTCCCGGGCTTTCTCATCACAGCATCCAGGACCAGGCCTGGCGGGACACCCCTCACCGGCTGGTCGGCCTCGCCCCCTCCTCGCCCCAGTTAGGCTACCGGGAATCAATGGCCATGGTGTCATGCCTTTTACTTCAAAATTTCCAGACCTGATTCCCCACTGTCCATGGGAGTCCCAGACACCTCGAGCCGCCGGACACGAGGGCTCAGGTGTCCCGTGTGCACCGGCAGGCCTTGTGGGCCCCTCTGGCCCTTTCCTTTTCTCCAGCCCTGGCCTGAAGCCAGGGCAGAACAGCCGATTCCAGGGAATGAAGAGATGCCAAAGCCAGCTTCCGGTTAGCAAAGCAAAGCAGCAGACACGCGGTGCCCGGACCACCAGCCACCAGCCTTCGCGTGGCCAGCCCTAGTACGCCGACCGCACAGGCCACCGCTCCGCACCCCTTCTCGGCCCACCCCTCTGGTGGGGCCCCCACTGCTCAGGACAGGGCGGCCCCCGTGCCTCACATCCTCCTGGGTGGAGGCTTCAGCATCTCCCCTCTCGGTTTCCTTAACACGTACTGAGGACTTTCATTTAACATGGCTTCACCCGCAGAACAACTCCACCGCGATTTGGGTTATTAGGGAAAAAGGGAGAGAACACGGGAAGTCAGTGACAGCAGCTGGGCAGGTGTGTGCACAGCGGGCGGGACGGGCAGTGCGACCCTAACTAACGGGCCTGCGACAAGGGGCCCAGCACCGCCTGCGCGGGCTCCATGGTCAGGACAGGCAGGGTGGGTAGCAGGGGCCCCTCCACACTCCTCTCCGCTGGCCCAGCGAGGAGGGCTGTGTCAGTCTGCGGGGGGTGGTTGGAGGAAGGCTGTGTCAGTCTCTTTGGGGGTTGGTCCAAAAAAACCAAACAGGAGGCTGGAATCCCATCCCCTCTCCCCACCCCAGCAGATTCCATGAGATCCCGACTTGGGCTCCTCCCAGGCCCCTCCCGCCCTTCCCTCGGAGCTCTGTGGCAGGGTGATGGGGCAGGACAAAGCAAGGAGCTGGGCCCAGGCAGGGGGAGGGGGCGTGGGGCCAGCGCACAGGGAAGAGTGGGAGTGGCCTGGGAGCTGCCCGTGCAGGTCTAGTGGGCAGTCCGGGAGAGGGAGCCCAGGGCCCGGGCACCCGAGCTGGGGCCACCAGGGAAGTGGGGGGGGCGGGAGACAATGTCAGCCCCGTGGTCGGTGCGGGCCCTGGCGTTCGCCCGGAAGGTCAGCCTGTAGGTCTCAATCTGCAGTGACACGGGAGGAGGGGAGGGGAAGGGAGGGTGACGGGGAAACAGGAGGAGGAACACAGGGGAGACGGAAGACGAGACCAGAATGTCATCGTTAGATGCCTGGAAAATAAAAGGTCATTGCGTTAAAATGCGGCCACACTGGTTAGAAAACAAAGGACGTGCACTGTGCGGCCAGTGGCGGGGCCCCTGGCTGGCCCTCAGGCCGAGCCCGGCCACTTACTTGTCTCCTGGATCTGGCAGTCCAAGGTCTGGGCCTCCCTGTGGTCACCACCCCCTGACAGGCCAGCTGGTGTGGGGGCGCCAGCTGCAGGCACTGCCTCAGGGATGGCCGGCTCCTCCCCAGCGGGGGCGCCCGGGCACGGAGGGGCCTCGCCACCACCCTCAGTCTACAATGAAACATGGAGACAGGCAGGGGCAGTC